GGTCGCTCGTGCTCAGCTACCCCACGGTGCACACGCAGCAGTCCAGCGTCCCGAACGGAGCGGCGGAACACAACGTCACCGTGGCGCGCCTTCACGAAACTCATGGGCGCGTTTGTGACTTTTTGGGACAACGACGCGGGCTCCAAAATCCACTTGCTGGCCGCCAGGCAGGAGGACAGCCTCCTGGAGTCTCAGATGCAGCTGGGCAGCCTGCAGTACCCTCACAACCCCATGAAGGGAGCCTTGGAGCACTTCCACTTCCTCTCCATCCTTGCGGGTACTTACGCGTGGGCTACCTGCGCCACAGCTTCATTGCCGGCTTTCCCACCGAGCGCGTGCCCAAGATGCCGCTGAGTGGTGGGCGACCTTGCCCGGTTCACCTTTCAAGGGCCTGGACGGACCTGTTCATCCACCTGGTGGCCTACCAGCTGGTGACGCTCTCCGGCACGGGCGTCTCTGTGCTGGACTAAAAAAAAAAAGGCCAGCTGTCCCTCTTAGCCTTTTTTGGCGTTGAATGACTGCGCCCAAAAAACATGCAAAAACATGGAAAAATGGGCATCTTCCAGGCTCCCTGGTTGCAGGGAAGCCAGAAGACTCAGTCCGGAATGCTCAGCCACTCCGCAAGCTCCTCCGTGGCCGCGCGCGCAATCTCGTCGCACAGCGCAGCAGGAACGCTGTAGAGCAGCTCGCGTGGCTGCTGGCCGACCCTCTCGTACTGCCCCTCCATCAGCCGCGGCCCCCGCTGCGCGGCCCGGAGGTGCCTGCCGTCCTGCCACGCGCCGCAGCGGCTGCCGGGCCTGCAGGCCTCGCCTCGGCCGCGCATGTTGGTCCACAGCCGCGTCTGCTTCCTGTACGGAGCTCCGTACTTGCAGTAGGTCACGTCCACCCAGGGCAGGCGCTCCATGAACAGCCGGGTCTTCAGCAGCCCAGTGGCCGGGTTCTCTATGACCCACATGAGCGGGTCAAAGTGCGCAATGATCTCAAGGGCGCTGAGCACCAGCGCGTCGCCCTCCAGGAGCCGCCGCGGGCGCGTCGTCAGCGCGCGGCTGTATTCCGTGCAAACCCAAACCATGTCGAAGTGCCCCGGCGGGAACGTCGTGTAGTCCCAGCTCCGGATGTCGCACAGGATGGAGGCGGACGTGGTTGTGGAGGGTGAGCCCTGGCAGCTGGCGTAGGTCACTGCGTGGCTCGGCCGGGTGGCCCGCAGGCATGCCGTTGTCCAGCCTCACTCCGTCCGGCTCCAGTTCCGCCACGGCCACAAAGACGCCCTTGGGTATCTCCCCGATGAGGCGCAGCCCCGGCCACACCCTCATGCTCTGCGGGCTGTTGTGTGTTGCAGTTTGGCAACACCCATTGGTTGGTACCGATTCGTAGCAACCCAAATCTATGTGGATGACTTGTGTCTCCAACTCTAAGAGCTTTGAGGCCTCCGGCGCCAGGGCCCGGTTCGCCGCTGCGTTGACGGCCATGCGCTTGCTGTGGCTGATGACCAGCGTGGTGTCCGGCCACCCGGGCTTGGAGGGGTAGAGCTCCTTCAGCCTCGCCTTGGCCTGTTTTAGCGTGGCACGCCTCCTCACCGACCCGCAGCCACTTCACAAAGTTGAAGATGCCGGGGTCGGAGCGCATGTTCCCCGTGAGCTCGTGCCGGCCAGGTCGCGGATGAGCTGGCTGTGCTCCAACGGCGCTGATGGGCGGCAACTGCCGGCCCAGTGGTCGGCCGTCTGCGCCCCAGGTTCTGCGCGGAGCAGTGCGTCTTGGACACCAGGCGCACCGCCTCGCCCTGCTCTCGCAGCCTCGCCACAATGGTCCGGGCGTGCGTCTTTCCGGTGCCCGGCAGGCCCGTGAGCAGCAGGGAGTTGCCCGTCAGGCAGTGGCCCACGGGGTCGTCCACCCCGTTCCACCTCCGTTGTTTGGGGCGCTCCGCCTCCATGCGCGGCGCCCTGCTGCTGCCCAGCAACGGCTTCGTCTCTTCTACGCGGTAGACCGGCGTGCCGTCCGGGTGGCGCAGCGCCTCCAGCGCCCGCAGCCGCTCCGTGAAGCGCTTCGGCAGCCGCTGCGTCAGCAGGCAGTCCGTCTTCACCTGCGCCAGGTAGCGCGGCGGCGCGTCCAGGATGCGCCGGGCCTTGGCCACCATGCAGTGCTCGAAGCCCAGGACCGCGTCGTGGATGGGGCGGTAGGTGCCGTTGCTCAGCAGCCTCCTGGCGTAGACGAAGTCCCACACCATGCCCCCCTCGTAGGCGAAGGCCTGAGAGAAGTCCGCGCCCGCGCCGTCCAGCTCGCTGCTGCTGCTGCGCACGCTGTAGACCACCTCCGTGCTGCGCGCCCACAGGCCTATCATCGCGTTCACGCTGAGCTTGGCCATGCGCTCCTCGCCCTCGGGCCACGCGGCGTCCATGCGCTCCAGCGCGCGCCGCAGCGTCGCCGCGTCACGTGGCTCCGCGCGGAGATGCCCAACACAATGTGGTCCCAGCGGCAGACGCCCAGGTCCAGCATCGCGGCCAGCGAAACCTTCGGGCACGCAACAGATTCAGGCAGGACTGCCTCGCGTCGCAGCAGCCCTCCACAAAGCCCAGGTCCGGCAGCACGCCGTCCATGGGTCAACGCCGTCCACCGGGCATGGCAGCCCGTTGCGCCTGCAGCGCACCACGTCCACGCCGACGTACAGAGCGTCCTTGTGCGCCTGCGCCTCAAAGACAAGAGGAGGCAGCTTGGGGCTCCGGGCGTGCTCCATGACTCCGGGCGCCACGCGGCTCTCCAGGCTGGCGGGCTGCGCGCTCTCCCTCAGCGTCTTCTCGCTGTGGCAGTCGCCGCACAGCGCCTGCAGGGTTTGCACGCTGCCCGCAAAGGCCTGCCACCACGTGGTCCAGCTTGCAGGCGCCGGCCGTCAGCCCGCAGCCGCACAGCGCGCGCTTGCCGTCCTGCGCAGTCGTGGCGCAGCATGGCGTCAAAGTCGGCGCACACCTCCTCCACGCTCAGCTGCAAAGTCGGCCAGCTGCCGGGGCACGCAGAGCGGCTTGTCCTACAGGCGCTCTGCAGCACGTCCTCCTCGCAGGGCAGCTGGAAGCTCACGCTCCTCAGGCCCCTCATGCGCTGGCGCAGGAGCGTCTCCACCTTGTCCGGAGTTCCGATACTGCGTGCTCTGGGTGCTGACCACCCGTGCCCGCCGGGGAGAGCGCGCGGCCAAGCAAAAAAAACTGGACCCGTAAAAAAAGAATGGCAAGTTGGGCGAGACAACGACAGATCACGGAGGCCGGACGGCGGCGCCCGCTCGCACGGGCGGATGGAGCCGTCGTGCTGAACTTGGGCGCGGACCGGGGGCCACGCGCTCTCTTGCGCGCGGACGGGCAGCTGACCCGGGCGGGCCAGCTACTACTCCCTCCCACAAGGACTTTGACTACAACCAGCCCCTCATCCGCGAAGGGCCCAACGACTACATCCTTGCGCAACGGGCAGAAGAAGCTCGTGCGCTCCCTGCAGGGCGGAGAGCACCGGCTGACCAAGCTGGGCAAGGGCTTCTTCCGCGACAAGTACTAGTCCACGTGCCGGTGATCATCCGGGGCAGAACGATGTCGTGAAGCTGATGGCCAATTGCTTGGAGCAGAAGGGGACCATGCGGGCCATGAGTCGGGGCGACCACGACGCCCTTGTTGCAGCAAACGCACCTCCGGCGCCAGAGTTCTCTCCACAACGGGTTTTGAAGAGCTACGGCGATATGACGACGTCCGAGTTCCAGAGCCATCTTATCAAGCTCGACACGACCTTCCGAGGCGACAGGGCCTTGAACTCCGGGAAGCGCCTGCCGAAAAACGAGGACGAGTTCGTGCACTTGCAGAGCAGGGCCCTCTTGCAGCTCCGCAAGCAGGTGCAGGACGACCAGTTGCAAGTGGAGAGCCTGCTGGTGTCGCGCCATCGCCAACTCCAGATGACCGACTTCGTCATCAACGAGAGCACCGTGAACTGCTGGTGGTACAACCCCGAGGTCCACCAGAAGCAGCCACTGGACTTTTTCGAGGCCTACGGGCGAGCTCGCGACGAGCGGAGGACCTTGATCGGAGACAGTGGCAAGGGGAAAACTCCCCTGGCAAGTTGCCTGGCAGCCATGGTAGCCCGCGACGCGGGTCTGGACGAGTTCGTCATGGTGTCCAGCCCGGACATGCTGCGATCCGCGGTTGAGTGCAACCTTTTGCGTGACGAGAGGCCTTTGCTCCTGGACGAGCTTCAGATCAGCAGCAGCAACATCGGCGCCCAAGGCGGGGGAGTGGACACGCTGAAGCATCTTCTCGGTCTGTCGCCCGACTTGCCAGCGACCATCAAATGTCGCTACAACGACGTGAAGGTGCCTGCGGAGACGTTCAGGATCATCACGGTGCAGGACCTGGCGAAACTCCACCACAACTTGGACGACATGGCAAAGATTTGCCCTCCGGACCTCATGCTCGAAGGGTTTGAGTGGCGCGCTCGCCCGCTTGACAAGGTCTTTGACGCGGACACGCGCGCGGTGCTGAAGCGCTGCATCCTCGTGGAAGTGACGGCGCAGTGTGTCAAGGACTCTGCTGCGCGAGAAGCGAAAGTTCGGGTCCGACAAGGCGATCTCCATGGCGGAGAGTTTGAGGGCATTGCACAACGGCCAGGCCTGCCTTTTGAGAGACAGAAACCGATCGTGCGGGCCGTTGCCCCTGCTGCCGCTCTGGCAGGTGGCAGGCAAGCGCGCGCACTTGCACCCCTTCTGCCGGGCACGCCGCATCCCGCGCTGTCAGGAACGACGTGCTGTCAGGGCACGCTCGTGAGGCCGCCTTGCCCAAAGACGCACAGTTGGGCGACGCGCTGCGACTGCGGGACGGGCGTGGAAAAGCCAGCGGAAGGGTGCAATATTGAAAATGCAGCATGGTGCATCATGAGATGCGCTCCCCGCTGCCACTGGCTGTACACTAGGGGCCCCTTGACCGCCATCGAAGGCTAAGGAGAAAACCAATGGAGGTGCGTTGCGCCTACGGTTCTTCATGGTAGCGGAGCAGGACACGATCCTGCTGATTGAGCCCATCACGCAGTTTGCACTGCTCAGGACCGTGAAAGCGGTAAGCTGCTGGTCACAGCAGTATGGAAGCCCGGGACCCTTTCAGGGAGCTGAGCTTTGATGGCCGACCTTCCGGCTATCAGGCGGAAGGTCATTCTTGGAGTGGCCGGCTTGGAGGACAAGATCCAGCATCTGGCTGGACCTAGGCTTCTGCAGCGTCTGCATGGAGAAGCCTGGGCAACGGAGCACCTCACGGTGTCAACGTTGCGGAGCACAGAAGGTTGGCTTCAAGTGCTGAAGGCCCTGGACGAGCACTACAAGTATCTGCCAGAGACGGAATTACACGAGGCGATAGATGAGTTCATGTTCCTCCTCAAGAAGCGCAACAACGAAGGCGCTACAGCGTTCGCCTCGAGGTTCAAGACCCAGCTCAGCAGAGTACAATCGCTCATAGCCCAGGAGCGGGAGACCTCTAGGCGGAAGAGGCGAAAGAAGGTCGACGAGGAGGCCAAACCCCTCGACGACTCCAGCGTGGAGGAATCTGGAGAGGATGGATCCCGAAGTGAAACTCCTGATGCAGCTGCTGCCGCAGACACTGCATCGGTTCCTTCGGCGAGCCCTGGAGAACGAGAAGGTTCTGTGCGAAGTGGGAGCCACCGTAGTCATCGTGCTGATGGAGCCGGTACTGCTGCCGGATCAGCGCGGAGCTCAGGTCGTGGCGTTCGACGACCTTGAGAAGAAGATGAGGTGGATCCTAAGGATGCGAAGGGCGATACACGAATGCAGCGACTGTTGGGGACGTTGGAGAGATCTACTATGCGCAGGCCAGTGTTCCCGCAATCAGTGCTTGGGCACCTGTTCATGCGGAAGTTTGGCCTCAGTCGAGAACAGCGCGCTCAGGTCATCCGGGCTACGGGAGGTTCATCCAGGCTTCAGGATGTGGAGCGCATCATGCGCGCATCAGACATGGAAGATCGCCGCCCGGAGCAACGTCCACAGCTGCCCCACAAGGGCAAGCGGGAGGTCTACGCAGACGAGTCTAGCGAACTCATCGAGCCCGACTTCGAGGACTCCGACGAAGAGGTCAATGCGGTCTACGCGGATGAGGACGACCCCGAGGAGGACCCCGAGGAGCAAGAAGAGCTGGCCGAGATCTACGCAGTCCAGCAGAAGGCGAAGAAAGAGTTCAAGAAGAGCTACAGGACCTACAAGGAGTCGAAGAAGAAGGTCCGCGAGATCAAGCGAGCTAGGCAGCCCTATCTGCCGGTGGTCGCACTTCAGGAGAGCGATCCCAGCGGTCCGTCACATGGGTCTGCCAAGCCAGTCTTCAAGTACGACAAGAAACCGGGAAAGGGCGCAGGAAAGAAAGGCGCTGACCGGAAGCCTGTCCGGAAGGAAGAGGCCCACCTCGCCGGCGAGTCCTTCATCACCGAGTTCAACTACATGGTGAACACCGACGAGATGGAGGTGCTGCTCAACTCGATCCCGATCGGCCGTGCCATCATCGACACGGGATGCACTTCCAGTGTGGTTGGAGAGGACACCGTCGAGGCCCTGACCAAGGATCTTATCAGTCAGTGAGAGAGCCACCAAAGGCCTCAAGTGGCTGGTGAAGCTTGGTCATTGTGGGGGTACATCACCACCTACATGATCCCAGTAAAACCCCGTTCCTGCTGTCTCGCAAAGTGTTGCAGGGCATGGAGGCCACCTTGGACATGGGCAACCTCACCATCACCAGCAAGAAGCATGGGATGATCCGGGCGCCACTTCAACAAGCCGCCAACGGGCATTTGATGATGCCGCTCTTGGACGAAGGCTTGGATCAGAGTTGGCAGCCAGGACGTGATCCTCGCCAGAATCATCGTGAAGGCGAGACTCTGGTCATGGACGATAGCAACTACGAGCCCTGCGTGGAGCCGTCGGACGAGAAGATCGTGGAGCCCGAGGAGCAAGCTCAAACCCATCGGGACTCCTGGACAACATCAGAAAGTACGAGAAGCACCCCTGGATCGGCTTGACCAATCTCACCGCGTTTGCAGAGACTTATCCATACAAGTTCTGTAAAGTGGTAACGGAAGCCTTGCTACGTGCCTGTGATGAGCAGCCTGTGCGTGCTATGGATGTGCTGGCAGCCGAAGTCGAAAGCGATAGCGAGCCAGCCGACGACGAAGCCGATTCAAGCCAAGAGGGCGACCCCGACCAGCCCGATCAACCCGAAGCAGAGATCCGTGTGCCTAGCAGAGATAAAGCCTTAGTGAGCAAATTGCATGTGAATACGGGGCATTCCAGTGTACAACAGATGCTACGCTTGGCACACCGATGCAAAGCAAGTGATTCGATCGTGCAGGCAATTCGTGATTTCAAGTGCTCAGTGTGCGAAGAACTCAAAGTGCCACCCAGCTGACGCACAGCCACCATCTCCCATACCGATGTCCCTAACGAAATAGTAGGCCTAGATATGGTACAGGTTGAACTCAAAAGGGAAAATTCATCCGGTGAAATGGTGGAGATAAAATTCAATGTGCTGACTTGTGTGGACCTCGCCACTGACTTTTGCCAACAAGTGATCGTGCCACCAGGACCAAGCCAAGCTGCCAAAGCATTTCATCAGGCCTGGATTAGACCCTATGGGGCTCCTAAATCGGTCTACGTGGATCCTGATGGAAACTGGTTGTCTAATGACTTTCAGAGTTACCTTGAGCATAACACAATTGCCTTGTTGAGCACAGCTACTGAAAGCCATTGGCAGATTGGCCGAGTCGAGCTGGCAAACCGAATCCTAAGAAACATGGCCCGCCGTGTTTGGAGAACTACATCAAGGCCACCCGAAGAAACCATAGAGTCGTGCTGTACTGCGAGAAACGAACAGCTCAGGAAGTGTGGTTTTTCTCCCTCACAGTGGTTTCTAGGAAGGGAAAGCCGTCATGCAGGTTTACTGAGTGACCTTGGTGAGCAACAAAACTTGGCTTCACAAAGTCAAGTGTTGGCCGACGCTACGTTTGCCGCCAAAGTGCATCTACGTGAACAAGCTGCTCTAGCATTTCATGAGGAGCATGCTAAAAGCATATGGCGCCGTGCCCTTCTTGCAAAGTCACGTCCCATGAGAGGTCCCTACATTACCGGTCAAATGGTTTACTTTTTCCGGAGACGAGCAAGAGGTCTTTTGTCGACTAGACATGGTGTTTGGTTGGGGCCAGGGAAAATCATTGGGGCTGAAACCTTGAGTGGAGGACCTATTCCAAGGGTCATTTGGGTTTCATACAACGGGTGCCTGTATAGATGTTCCCCAGAGTCTCTGAGACCTATACCACAGGACGAAGCAGAATTCCGTGCCCTTTCAAAAAGCTTTGATTCAGGGAGTCTTGACCCAGAGCTTGAAAGTGCAAGGCAGCTTCTAAGTGGACCTGGGGGCCAATTCCAAGACCTAACCCAGGATGCGCCGGGCGATGAAGACTTTCAACTTAATGCAGAAGAAGATGAGTTGCAAGACGTAGAATCTAGTAGACAGGTTCGCCGTCGCATCACCCGGGATGGCAATTACTGGGAACAACGTGCAGCCGAAGGAAATCGCGGCAGCCGATACCGAGAGGGCGGTGATACCCCCTTACCGATGCAGGTCGATCACGATCGAGGCAGCAAGCATCCCATCGAAAATCAGCCATCGGAGCCACCAGCCAGCCGTAGACGTTTGTTTGAGCCTATCCCAGAGGGCGATGAAGAAGAAGAATACACACCAAGTGTCATCCCCCCTAATAAGCAGCCAAACCAAAGGAGGGCGGCTTAGAGCCGATGCAAGAGACGAGTGATGCCTCAGACCTTGCTACCCATGGATCCTCCGTGGGTCCAGCCGAGCCGAGCCAGCCTGAGCCTTCGCAAGCCGTGGATACTCCAGTGCCCATGGATGAGGATGAAGATTGTCTTAAGGTAGAAGCCATGTTTGAAGAACAAGCATTTCTTAGTGACGTGTCATTGGACATAATGCCTGAAGATATAACAGATAATCCTCTGTGCTTGTGGAGTGTGCTGGAAGAGTGTTTTGCTAATGCCGCGACACCTCAGGCGAAGCTTAGAAAGGTAGAAGTGTCTTACAGAAGACTCAATCCAGAAGACAAAATACTCTTTAGGAAAGCAATGAACAAGGAGTGGAATTCATGGGTTGAGAACAAAGTCACCTCTGTGTGCCGCAGCAAAGGAATACCGCCAGAGCGCATAATCCGTGCCCGCTGGGTTCTGACATGGAAGAAATCAAGTGATCCTGATGTCAAACAGAAAACCCCAAAAGCACGCCTTGTGTTGGTAGGTTGGCAGGACCCTGAGCTTGGAAAAATTGCAAGAACTTGATCCTCTCGATTTGTGCAAGCCAACATTGGGTACTTTGGGGAGCAGACATCAAAACCGCATTCCTGTCAGGTGATCCCCAGCGCCGTGACGTGTACTTCAAACCACCCGATGAAATTCGAGAGTGGATGGGGTTGAGTGCAGAGGACCTCCTACGCCTAGAGAAAGCAGCTTATGGGCTAGCCGAGGCTCCCAGAGCTTGGTTCTTGCGATTGAAACGCGAACTGCTTTCCGTAGGTTTGGTTCAAAGTCAACTTGATCCTTGCCTCTTTACCCTACACATCAAACAGGTGTTGAAAGGTGTATGTGGGGTACATGTGGATGATATCATCGGTGGAGGTGAAAAGGAAATGGATGAGGTGTTGAAACGTCTTCGCAAAGTGTTGCCCTTTGGAGACTATCGAACCCATACCATCCGTTACACGGGCATTGAGACAAGACAGAACCCTCTTGATCATAGCATTGAAGTTGGGCAGGAGACCTATATTGAAAGTTTGGGACCCGTCTCGACTAAGCCCTTAGGCACTGCTTCAACAAAGCTGACCGACAAGAGCATTTTGAGAACGTGTGCCGGCCAGTTGGCCTGGGTTGCAAACCAAACGCGCCCGGACCAAGGAAGCCGAAGCTACCACCCGGGCGCTACGTCTGCACCGATGCCTAGCCAGGCCGCAATGGGCTATTCGCCCGCATCCGCTGCGGCTGGACTTCAGATGCCTCACACCAGCGCTGTGAGCATCAAGCTTCCTCCCGGGGTGCCCGATGTGGACACCTGGGGACGTACCCTGGTCAAGCTCTAAAATGTCTTGGACTATGAGGAGGTGGTTCGCCAGAGCAAGATCAACACCAAGACAAGCGCTACCTTGGTTGGATCCTCCGGACCTACGGCAACCACAGCCGCGAGTCAGGCCGTGGACCTTGCAGCCTACTTGCGCCGCATCCGTTGGGAGCCGGAGCAGTACAGCATAGGCAGCACCCTTGCACAGAGGGCGTGTGAAAATGCAGTGCGTTGCGCCTACGTTTCTTCAAATATATGACCCCCAACCCGCTGAACCCCACAGTGCCCCAGCTCCATGCTAACGTACTATACGTACTATCTGACCCCCAAATTCACTCTTGTCTGACCATCTCACCACGGCGTCGTCTATAGCACATATAGCACATAAAAGCAGAAGCCCGGGGTTCTGCGGCTTGGCGTCCACAAAGCAGCAGCACACAGAGCATGGAGTCAGCGGGTTGGGGTATGCCAGCCCCGTTTGTGCCAGGACCAACACTTAAAGGGACATTTGCACGGTTTTGAAAATGGTCTTCTTCCAGGGTATGTGTCCACCCTGGAAAATACCTCTTTTTGCACGGTTTTGCCAAGAAAAAGCTGCTGTACTACTTCCCTGCTTAAATGCAGGCACTGTAGTAAAAAAAAAATGTCACATGCGCGCCTTGGGGCATTAAGCCATCGGTCACGAGAACGACTATACAATCATCGAAAGTGAGACGGGTGAGACCGAGAGGGACAAAGCGCTGGTGAAATGAGCCAAACAAAGGAAAGGACCGAAAACACAACGCGGCAGACCACGAAGCAACACAACACGGAACCAAACGAGCCAACGCGGCAATTAAAAGGGAGAGCGTGGAACATAGTTCCAGAAGACACTGACTACACCGAGGAGCTAGACTTGTGAAGCATGAGCACATTAAAAATGGGAACATGCGCGCTCCAGACCGCAGGGGGCACATTTGCGCATCGTCAACCCCCACACGTGGCCACACGGCTGGAGCAACGAGCGCAATGTTCCAAAAATTTGGCAAAGCAACACACGGAAGAAGAAGGCAAAAAGGGCCAAGCAAGGGCCAGCAAAAGGCGAGCATGCAGTAAATTAAATTGTGCATAGGCATCACCCGGAGCACAGAGGCAGAAAGAGGCCGTGCAACAAATTACCCTCTCACTGACATCGAGCGGAGTTGCTATGGCCAGGCAAGTGTGACGGGCGTCACAGGCCTGGCCATCAAGCATTGCACACAAGACAAGGGGTGAGCGTGCAATGCACCATCAAGTTTGCACTATATGCTACGCAATTTCCGCAGGAACAGCGATGATCCCAACCGATAGTGAGGATGGAGGCCAAGCGCTGAAGCATTTTTACAAGTGCGTAGGTACACCGTGGCAAAATGCACAAGCGGGAAGCAGAAGCCCAAGGAGATCTGACAGTGCCAAATACACCAGAGGCATTCTGTCCCATTGCGTAGGC